AAAAAATTAAGCCTAGAATGGAGAGAGTATTATTATTATTGGTAACCGTTGATATGGTTTCACCTAATTTCTCAGCGAATTCTTATGTTCTCCACTCTTTGAAAGATTTTCTGGATGGAATCTTGAATTGAGAATTTTTGCCCACATACGGTATATGATGTAAGAAATTCAACAATCACAATATAATTTTGGTTTAAGAAATCGGGTTGTATTCGAATGACTAACAATTGAGTGCTGAAAATAAAATAAAATAAAAATAGCAAGCAAAAAGGGCCCAAAAAGAAGTGTTTAAGATTAATGAAATTTCAGAGAAAAAAACGAATAATTGAATACAAATGATTCACTTCAAAAACACAAAGTAAGAATATTTGAGCTTTCAAATCGTTATCAGCGTCGGACCCATGAAACACCATCTCGTAACATTGAAATCTTTATCATGATGCCCATGAAACACCATCCATAACTCCACTTCTCAATGGTTTTGAATACCGAGTCACTTGGCACAACCAATCCGATTCCATGTGCATCTTTGTAGTGCATGGAGATAACACCTACAACTTCTCCATCCAAGTTCATCAAAGGTCCACCATAGTATCCCTGACACACAGAGACAGAGAGAATAATCAGATCTACATAATATTAGATGTAAAAATGAAATAAATTTCAATCAACAAATAATTATGAAAATATTATCTTATTTCATGTAGTGGAAAGGTCTATTTGGATGAATCTATGCACTATACCTTCTTTGGATATTTTGAGGTCTATGGAACCGCCATGAAAAAGAAAAAAATTATTAAATAAATACAAGTATATTTTTTTATGATATGCGTTTATTTACCTCACAATGATAACCATCAAGAATACGTATTCTTGAGATGAAAAGGAGACTATCCAATCCTCTTGGCAAAGCGCACTTGAATTACCAAGTTTCGCAGTTGGCAGTAGTGACGTCTTTGGGTCTAACTTTACTAGTGCAATCCCATATTGGATATCAAGTATCACCATTACACTCTGTAATGTTCTTCCATCTAGTAAAGCAACATCAACATGTACTTCCCAATTTTTTCAGCTATTAACCATTATTTCGAAAAGAAAAATACTAACAAAGAAAAAACTAACTTAACCGACTTGTCTTACCACTCTCGGGATGGAAGATATAACAATTTGTTAGTACTCACACATCAATTATTGTTCCATAAGCAAAAAAATTATGAAGGTTCCCATCAACAGACAGAAAAATCCTCAGATTACAACATTTTTTTTTTTGCAATGATACAAGAAGAAAGAAAATCAAATGAAAATAAATACCCTAATAATGTAATATAGTTTCAACAATTGCAAGTAATGATTGCAGCCACATTGGCTATTGTATCCCTCTCAAAATACTCATTTGCAGTGGTTCCTAAAGAAAATGGGCGAGAAATTGTGTATGCGGTAAGACCAGTATAAGAGGTCCTCAAGCCATAGTTCGCCATCTTCCATTCCCGAGGATTCATGTCCATATGTTTACAATGACAATCGAGAGATTCATCAAATGAAAAAAACTAAAACTAAAGAAGTCATCAAAACAAGAATTGCAAAAATCGACAATGATAATAGAGTTATTCATCAATAGGAAGAAACAAATATCGTTGAAACTAGCGGAATGAGAGTTGCAAAAAAATTCATCAATCAGAATAAACAATATAATTGAAACTAACACTAGCGAAATCAGTGGACCGACGAAATTAGCAAAATTATCATAGCAGTCTGAGAGACTCATCAATCAAAAGAATAACTGAACTGAAACAAGTGGAATCAACAATATTATGCTACTCCATACATTTTCTCACCCTAAATTTTGCCTTGAAATCACCATTTGTTTGAGAGTTCTTCATCCTGTTTCAAGATTTTCTTATATTAACTCAGTTATAAAAGGTTTCTAGACGATAGATTCTAAACCTATTCAAAAAGGGAAATATTGGTTGTAAAGAGGGAAAATATACGATAAAGGATCCCATCGTGCTACGAAGGCTGGAAAAATGTTTGATGGAAGAGATAGAGTGTGGAAGTTAAAGTGAGGAAGTCAATGTTGGCGGAGTTGTCAGTCATAAGCAGTCGAGAACTCTTCAATGCTTTTGCGATCAGTGCAACTAGCAAACAAATGAAGCAATAGTGATGATGATAAATTATCAAATGAAAATATGTAAAATTGCTTTTATGGATAAGTGTGTTTGTTTACACTAATCTAAATAGCATTATCATTATGTATCGATTAATGATTCCAAATATTCATAAATCTTTCATATCCTGTGACGAGTTTGATGGGGATTGTAAATGAATAAACAGTTGTGTGTTTTCAATCTAAATTCCATATTCAAACTTGATTATCACATGTCTATAAAAACCAAATCATTGCAATCTTTCATCTTCTCACTTTCTTTTTCATCTATGTTTTCATTTTTTTAGCAACGATATTTACTCCAATATTTGATATGATTTCATTTTGATACAATTGTCTATAGAATTTTGAGTAAGAAGTTGAATTTTTGCCTTGTAGGAGGTTTGTTGGTTTCGATAGTCATAATTTTTTTTTTATCAGTTTAATGATGATACTCATCAAAATCAATTTGGTAATCACCATCTTATATAATTTTGTAAGGTTTTTATTTACCAAAACTTCTGAAGAGCTGCCACGTGGCCTTATGCCTGACATATTTTCACCACAACCACGGTTCTCCTTTCTTCTCCTTCTCGACATCTTAAAACCCTAATTTCCTAAATATCTAAATGGATCCTTATCGGCCACTCCTCTCCTCTCCTCAATATCTAACATAGCAATGATTTTGAAGCTTCCAAGCGGCTATAAGGTGGTCAAACTATCGAACCAGAGACGATCATAATTCATAACCTGCCCCGTGATCTTCAGTTGCCTCAGATTTGTTCGTAGAGCTAACCAACAACGTGATCTTCCCCGTTTCCAAATCGGCTTTCTTGAACACGAAGGCCGACGTATTCATATGTATTGTGAGTATAGACAATCTGGTATGTGGTGTTCGTTGAGAATCCGGAGAAGGTTTCGTTTTGCGGATTGATTTTCTTTGCTGGATTTGAGTTCTAACTCCTCAATGTCCGACATGCCACCTCACGGAACGCCGGCAACAAAAATTACACAGTTTAGGATCCTATGCAAATTCGCCCTGCGGTGAGAGAACAAATCTCGTCTTTCATGATTTCTTCCTTTCTGATATTATTTTGGGTCGGTATCTTTGGTWTAAATGAAATTGGAATTTCTGACTTCTTAGGTTTAGGAATTCTCAAATAGATTTGTTTCTTTGGTCCATTGTGAATTTGGGCTATTTCTTTGGTCCATTGTGAATTTGGGCTAATGAGGATGATGTTTTGTGTTCTAAATCTTTGATCTTTATGATTGAATTTGTCTGATAAATATTTTCTCACATCTTGTCAATTGATGATTTTTACAGGGATATCTCTCAAGATACAATAGTTAACCGTTTTGTTTCTCTGGTTTGTGGGTTGTATTGTAGTTTTTTAATGGAATTTGAAGCAAGGGTTATGATCACGTGAAGCTAAAGCAAGTAAGTTTTTTATTTAAACAACATGGTGAATCTGTCTTTCTATAATGTACTTGATAGAAATAGTTGTTTTCCTTTAAATTTGAAATCATCCCTAATTATCAGCGGTATATTAAAAGCACATAAATTTGTAATCAATTGAAATGGAGTTAATCACCATTTATTTGGTATCCGTTTCATTTTTCCCTATAAAGTTCTCATAATTCTCTTCCACATACTCATATAGATTCAATGATTTCCTTATTATTTCAACTTTCAATGCATTTTCTTTGTCGTTGTGTTATTCAGATGCTTGTGAACAATTGATAGTTGCGTTATTTAGATGCCGTTGATTTATTGTTATTGATTTCTATTTTGCATTAGGTAAGAGAAGCAGTTTCATAGTATCATACAAGGATAGGAGGTGTGCAGTAGTAGTCTCGACGTGTGTGCTATATGGTGAAGATAAACTTTTACGAAATTTTTTGACTGTCCAAGGCATTAAGTTAAAAAGTTGGTCTCTCCCAATTATAATAGATGTTAAAATCAAATTTATTGAAGTGGTTGAGATTCAAAGTTCAATCTGTCTATATCTTAGATTTAAAATGGTCTTCTTTGATTCTGCGTCCTTTGGTCTCTAGGCTCTATTACAAGCACCGGATAGACGGGTTTGTACATAAACATGGACGATTCGTCCAAACAACAAACTCTATTGAATTTGTTTATTTATTTTGTTTTAAAAGGATTTTGAATTTGAGATTGGATTCCTCGCAATTGTCTAGATTTTCTGCATTTGGATCCAATTATTTTCATTTCTGAACTTATTTTAATTAACCAGTTGGTTCTCTTGAACAAGTACAAATACTGAGAAGCTGAATCAGTCATCGTTTTTCTTCGTTTTAAGCTCAATGGTGAAGTCAGCGGAGTTGATGAGCCTCAGCTCAGAGACATATTCTGCGCAGAGAGACCTATGACCTATACGTTTCTTTGGCAACAAAGATGATCCTACATGTCTCCTTGATGTTAAATTTTGTGACAGAGTCGTCAAATTAACTAATGAAGTACCATCATCCAAGAAACAGTTTCAAGCAGGATCTATAAAACCCTTTGTAGGCTCAAAGAGAATGTGGATGTAACAATGAACTAAGTTCTACGTAAATGTACAAAATGATCATGCATCATATAAAAAAACTTTGACAATATGATGTATTTGAATAAGTTTTTATATATCGAGTGGATGAGGGTAAAAATGTGATGAATAGTAGTATTACAAAGAGTCAAAATAGCACCATTTTCACAAAATGCCAAAAACACAATGCTTCTCTAGAAAATGCTTCTAGTTTTCTTTATAGGAAAGTTCGCTTAGTTGTTAATTGTTATGCACATTTGAGTTTAGCATTAGGTAGAGTTGATATTGTAGTTGAGGTATCTCTAATATATTAGGATCATATAAAATTGGGATCTTAGTACATGGAAAGTTTAAAAAAAAAGTTCTCATGCCCCAATTCTCAAGGTAAGCCCAACTATTTGCCGATTTGAAAATTTCCACCTCACCTATCCACTTTTCGGCGACTCTTTTTCCAAATTTCAATATTGCTACGCGACTTCCCGGCTCAGAATCTCTCTCCGGGGACAATGTTTCGAAGTACCCTTTCAACCAAATGACAAGAACTTCCACTCGCGGGGAGGTATATATTTCTTGGTTTCCAAGAGAATCTGAAGCCTTTTTTTTTACGGCATGCAACTCTTTGGTAGTATGCATGATTTTTAGCAGTTAACCCTCTGATTTCGTAAAGGAAAAAAGCATTGTTGAGCAAAACTCGACTCTATAGACTATAAGTATTCATGAAAAGCTCTTTTGGTAAGAAAAACTGTAGGCAAATTTGATTTAGAGAGGAACGGTTCCCACACTATTTCCTTTTAAAGGCCCATAAGTCATTATGCAACGTGAAAAGCGTTTTTGCGTAAAATGCATATCGCTTGTAAACAAAGAGGTGGCGA